AATATAGAGAAATCGTCCATGAATACCTGTAGGTTGTCCTCGAGCATATCCGAGAAGATGGAGAACATGTACCTCTGAAACGTCCCTGGTGCATTACATAGGCTAAAGGGCATCCGTCTGAATGCGAAGGTGCCAAAAGGGCACGTGAATGTCGTCTTAGGTTGATCCTCGTGTGCTATGGCCACTTGGTAGTAGCCGGAGAGTCCATCCAAGAAACAGTAGAACTGGTGGCCCGAAAGACGGTCAAGGATCTGGTCAATAAACGGCAACGAGAAATGGTCCTTCTTGGTCACTGCATTCAGCCCCTTATAATCGATGCACATGCGCCACCCGGTAGTGATGCGGGTGGGGACCAACTCCTTCTTATCGTTCTGAATTACGGTTATGCCACCTTTCTTCGGTACCACATGAATTGGGCTAACCCACTCACTACTCGCCACTGGATAAATCAACCCTTCAGAGAAAAGTTTCAACACCTCTTTCTAAACTATCTCCATCATGTTCGGGTTTAGCCGTCGTTGGCTATCCCGAAAGGGTTTTGCTCCCTCCTCGAAGATAATCTGGTGCATGCATGTAGATGGGCTGATTCCCTTGATGTCTCCTAAGATCCATCCAATTGCTTTCGGATACTACCGGAGCATGGCTATCAATTCCTCTTCTTCCTGGAGGTCGAGCTCAGAAAAAATGATCACCGGCTTCTATTTGGTATCATCCAAGAAGATATATGTAACACCCCGCTAGCTTATTAAAATCAGAGTTAAATTTTCGCAAATTCTTTTCTACAATAATTTTAAATTTGCGAAATCATGACTCGAGATGCTACAGAAAAACATTTCTTTCTAAAAATCCGTTGTCTTTGCTTATTTAAAACTGTTATGAAAAACGGATTATCTTTTAATCAAACGAGCGTGTGATGCTGTATAAACTCCGGCCAAAAGGCTCGACTCATAGACTGAAAAATGACATGTTAGTTTGAAAATCTGAAAACATCAGCGGAAGTAAAAACGTGGCAAATAATATACATATAATAAGTCTGCAAAAGCATAATTATATATGTACTGCACCAACGACCACCAGCTTTGCTCACTCCTTCGGGCCGACCCTGTTACCTAAAAAGATAATAATAGTGGGAGCATGAGCACTAAAGTCACTGCGCCCCGTAGAAACTCATACTAAAGTAAACATTAATGATAATATCAATATCATGACTGCAGGTATATATAAGTAAACTGTAATCTCCCGACACTAGGTCGGTAACTGAACTGAACTGCCATGTGCACACTCTGATGGGCAATTAAGGCTACTGCGCCTCCACCAGAACTCTGGATGGGCAATTAAGGCTACTGCGCCTCCACCCAAAGTGGATTCCTCATATACATACCTTAGACATGGTTGAGTAATTATAATCAATGTAATACGCAGTCTGAGTTCCCACCTGAACTGCTAATCTGACAGTGTAAGTACTGCTGCTGATCAATCTGTAAAAATATATATGAATAAACAAATACTAAGTATTATGCTCAGACTGACTGAAAATAG